GGAACCTATTAAGCCAGTTCTCAAAGGTGCAGCTCCGCCCGGGGTGACCTATGCCTTTTCTTCCCGTAATACCGCTTTTTCTCCCCTTTCCCCGTCATTTGGGCTGGTGGTAGCAATGTAAACATATCTATGTAGTCACCATTAAGTATCTTAGTCCTTTTCTTTTCGAAAGGTGGTTACCCAAGATGAAATCAGTAGACAAGTTAGTAGAGATTTTAACATCTTCCACTAGCGCACCACTCTTCCACTCCAGGGTACCGTTAAAGGTTTTTCGGTGTGAATTGGCCCTCCTCTCGTGAATCCATAGGGGGACCCCAGTATCCTCTCTTTCCCCCCAGTAGCCCTCCATGGGGGCATCGCTATCACCCTCTGATGAAGAAGTACCTGTTTCATCCTCTGAATCAGACGGGTCGCTTCTCCTACTCTTCTTGGAGGTATGCTTCCTCTTAGCCTTTCTCTTTCCTCCCTTGGTACCGCTGCCCTCAGGGGCTGGGTCACCAGATGCCGATGTTGACTGTTGAGGAGGTACCTCGTCCTCTGAGGAGGACCCTGACACACCCTCGGAAGGAATGGGTTGAGATGGTGAATCCTGAAATACACTAGGAATATCGGTCACCTGCTGGTTAGAGTTAGAGCGGCCCTGTCTTGATGGTTTGGAGCCTGCCCTGGACGTGCTGGCCTTTGCAGCACCGGACTTCGACTTCTGAGCACGCGAAGATTGAGATCGTGTTTGAGGCCGGTTGCCAGACCCGCCAGCAGCTTGTGCCATGCTGGGAGCAGAACCTGAAGATCCTGCGCGAAGCCGCTCACTGGGAAGGGTGTCCGGGATAAAGTCCTGTGAGGCCGCCACTGATGAGGAAGCACCAGCAGCCGCTGGCCTGCATTGCAGATAAAAAGTTTCAATAGCAGAAAGAAATTGAGCTATAGCTTGAGGGTTGCAAGGTATGGCGGGAGTTTGAGCACCACTAGGCCCTGCCTGGGGAGCCTGAGAATTAGCCCTGTTAGCCATGCCTACACCACAGCTGGATGCAAAATAAATCACCGTAAACAGTGAAATGTATAAGCCGGTAACTCCTTTAAAAAGGCACAGCAACCCAGAGACAGGACCACTCAAACGTAAACAGTGAAATGTATACCATAAGCAGAACTGAATTGCTTTTAAGAATCCCTATGAGAACTTGACTGTAAAATAAACTTTAAATGAATTCAGAACACCCAAATAAACCTTATGAAATACCTTATAGATTACGAATTAAGCCTACACTTATGAATTACCCTTGTAAGATGGCACTGAATGGATAGCCTTGAATGAATTAATCAGTATTTTAAGGCGTCCTCTGAATTGCGGTGCGCAAGTTGTGCCTCCCGCGCCACCAGAATAACAAATGATGTTAAATCAAAAGCACTTTACCGTAGTTCAAATCAATTAAGTAGTTGGAATGAATTAAATGAATAAAAGTTGTAGGAATAAATTTTAAATGAAATGCAAATGACAGCAGTTGGAGCAAATTTCAATGAATTAAATGAATGAATTGGATGAATGGATTGAATAAAGTAGAAGGCTACAACCACGCAGCGATGCCGAAGAAGCTTAATCACAGCTGCACAGCTCCGAAAATAGGCACAAAGTATCCCCCAATGGACACGACGCTGTAAGGGCAGATTGCCAGCGACGCTGGAAAGTGTAGCCCTAATCGCACACAAAGTAACTGTGGTGGCTAACACTATGTAACCCTTAAGGTTAAAGAAACAATCGAATGGCAGGCAGAGAGTTGCCTCACTTAAAATGGCCCCTATAGAGCGACCACGTGGTCCGTCTCGAAATGGCGGCCGCAAGCATCTGCAACCTAGGCAACCGCCAGCGCTCCGCTCAGCACACACAACCCCTGAACGTTGCGACCACTAGAGCAACCAGTAAAAGAACCCCGGAAGCAAGGGAAAAAATTGAAAGCCACTTGTAAAAAGCCCCCTTTGATCCCCGGCGTGTGTTTTTAAGCTCCTGCGTTACGCAGGGAAACCGAGATGTTACCGTAGCAGCACTAATCACAGCTGGCCTCACTCCCAGATAAGTGGAACCCCTTCAGCCACTAGCCAGCCCGATGGGCTAAAAGCTACCTAAGAGCGAGTGCGATCGGAAAAGCGCAGCACCTCCGCCAGCCCCCGGTGCGCCCCAGCGCCGTTTAAAACCGCACTAGGTCTTTCGAGCCCGTAGCCCCCCCCGCCGCTTGCTATCTTCGATCTTTCCAACCTTCCATGAGCGCTGCTGCAGCTCACGACCGTGGATCCAATTTTCGAGTCCTTGCAACTGGGAAGCGAGGTAGTAGGGCGATCCCAGGAGGGCAAGGGGAACTCCAAGCAAGCCGCTGCAGAAAGGAGACTCGGCAGAGGCTTAGAAGCCGAGCGAAGGCTGGCAAACGGTGCCCAAGGAGCCTCGGCGCTGGCGTACCCAGCAAAGCCTCAAGAATTGAAGATGATAAGAAAAAACCCGTCGGCACTCAGCAATAGGACCTCAGCAGAGCGCGATCCCTTTGGCGACCGGGAGAACAGTGCGCAAAGGGGACGAGCCGGCCGGCTCGAGCGCAACGTTTCGAGAGGCACCCACAGCTTCCAGACGGCAAGATGGATCCTCGCCAGAAAACCAGCAACAAAAACCTGCAAAATACAAGGCAAGATCAAATGCAACCACAAAACAGCAATGAAAACTAGCACAGAGAACTAAGAAGACCAAACCGCAGCTGTGGGCGAGGACACAAAGGGGAGATCCTGGGCCGCGCCGACCTTAAGTGACCCAGGCCCCGCCCCAGCAGCCAGCCAATTGGCTGGCCCTGGGGCTGATGCGGCCTGAGGATTCCCCAGATCACGCAGGGCCGAAGCCAGCCCCGCGCGGATGTTGGTGGGTGTGAACCCGCAACCCCCCCCTTCCTTATTTCGGGAGTGGCTTTCTAATAAGTTTGGTATAATAGGCATATTTAACTGTGACTGCAGTACTTGCTGAAGCTGTGACACATATTGAGCGCTCTCTCTCTCTCACACACAAGTATTTATAAATACTTACGGTTAGCCACTATTGCTGAGGCTGAGCCCCATTTATGTTTGTGGTGTCAAATTAAGAACTGCTATTAAAAATGTGTTATTAACAACGTGTCACTGATGTGAATTGTGTATTGGTTCATGTGTTTCAAAAAATAAATAGAAAGTGCTGCTGCATGGGGGGTGACTAGCCATTCTGCTTTTACCCCTGTAACCCAGCTTCCAGGAGCCATTTGGCTCCTAGCTTTTCTATCTCAGTTTCTAACACTGCTGGCTTACTAGTACTACATGTGAATCAGATCTAGGGGTCTTAATGGACCACAAGCTTAACATGAGTCAACAGTGTAATGCAGCAGCAAAAAATGCTAATGCTACTCTAGGCTGCATCAACAGAAGTATAGTGTCCAGATCAAGTCATAGTACCACTCTATTCTGCTTTGGTCAGCCCAACCAGTTGATCAAGGGTCTAGAAACAAAGCCTTATGAGGAATGGTTGAAAGAATTGGTAAGTTTAGCCTGAATAAAAGGAGACTGAGGGGAGATATTATAACCATCTTCAAATATCTTAAGGGTTGTCACATGGAAGAGGGAACAAGTTTGTTTTATACAGCTCCAGAGGGTAGGACATGAATCAATGGCTTCAAGTTACAAGAAAAAAGACTCCGATTAAACATCAGAAAGAACTTTCTGACAGTAAGAGCTGTCTGACAATGGAATGGACTCCCTCGGGAGATGGTGGACTCTCCTTCCTTAGAGGTTTTAAGCAGAGGTTGGATGGCCATCTGTCAGGGATGCTTTAGCTGAGATTTCTGCATTGTAGGGGGTTGAACTAGATGACCCTTGGGGTCCCTTCCAACTCTATGATTCTATAACTATTGCTCTACCATTGAGATTTTCCCCACCACCAAAGACTCTCCTCCTGCAAGAGAGGGGAGTGGTTGTGGTTGGGAGCCGGACTCCGCCTCAAGCAGGGGGCGTTAGCCCCCTGCCTCCCACTCACCTGGCTGGCCTACGCCCACGGGCAGGCACCCAACCAGGTGCCTGCGAGGGGGCGTGTTTAGCAGCCCAAATTGCTGCGGCACCAGCCTTCCGGCCTCACTTTTCATCGTCCCGTCGCGAGTCATCAGCTAGGAGTCATCACAGTCATCACAGGGAAGAGCCACGAGGTTTGGAGTCGGGGGGGGGGTTGTCTCTGTGTGTGGAGGCTGCCTGGTTCCTGGCTTGCCTTTTAACTTTAGGAGGCTTGCGTGCGCTCATTGCTTTACTGCTTTTAAAAACCCAGGTATCCAGGTTTGCCTTGCTGTGTCCTCTTTTCCATGTAAAACCCCACATTTAACCTTCTATTTCCCCCCACTCCTGGTGCTTGATTTGTTTGTGCGGTCTGAGTGCGAATTACCTTTCTTAAGCTGCAGCTTGTTCCCTTGCCCAGCACGTGCACCCCAGCGAGGTCTGAGTGTGAGTGTGGCTCCGTCTTTCTTTCTCCCTCGTCTCCTCGCTTTCCTTCCCCTGCCTCTGCCTCTGCCTTGGTGGCTGTGCATTTTTATTTAATTTTTGGCCAGGGTGCTTGTACGTTTTCCCCTCTATTGCCCTTGCCTGTCCAATTGCATGGCTGGTCTGGGTGACTGAGTGGGTTTGCCTTACATTTTAATTTGTTGGCCAGGGTGCTTGTGCGTTTTCCCCCTCCATTGTCCTTGAGAGCCTGGATAGCTCAGTTGGTTAGAGCATGGTGCTGATAATGCCAAGGTTGCAAGTTCAATCCCTGTATGGGACAGCTGAATATTTCTGCATTGCTTGGGTTAGACTAGATGATCCTCAGGGTTCCTTTTCCTGTTCCTCTCTAATTTTAAGTCGTGTGTGTGTGTGTGCTTGCAGCGTGTGTTTGTGCCTGCCGTTTATTGATTTATTACTCTTCTAGTGTGGGTTTAATTTACCCTGCCATCCCTTCCATTGGTACCACTTATATATTGATGATTTATTTATTGCATTAGCCGAGTGGCCATAGCATGATATACATTGAAATAACAACATAAAATGGGGGTGGGGAGGTAGAGGTAGACATCGTCCTGGGCGAATACTTAAAGAAAGTGAAAAAAAAAAAAAAAAAAAAGCTGCTGAGGCTGGAGGAGGACCGTTAAAGGGTCCTTCAGCTCCTCAGATTAGTCCTAACTCGATTGTCCTTGTACAATAAGGCTACTTGGAACTTCGTTCGGTTGTGCGGCGTATCGACTGCATCTGTGGTGTTAAGGAAGAAGTTAGTGCCGCTTTCCTCTTCATCACACTAAGCAGGAAGTTAGCTGTCATCTCAGTAATCCAACAATCAGAATCCTGCAAAAAGAGGGACACTATCCAAGGCTGGATTGGGAGATGGAACTTATTCACGAGGGGAGTTAAAAACCGAGATCTTTCATCTGTCCAGTTGGGACAGAAGAGCATTACATGTTCCATAGTCTCCAGGGCCGTGTCATTACAGGAGCATGTTCTGTTTGCGATGGGAACTCTGGAATAACGACCCGACAGAACTGCTGTAGGAAAACAGTTGAGACGGGCACAGGTAAAAGCCCTTCGCTTAGTCTCCGAAGAAATTGTGAAGCAGTATAGAGGGATCCTTTCAGGGGGGTGGAATAGCTAGGGCTAGGCCTGAACACGGTCCTCTTGCACAAGAAGCTGTGTTGGAGAAGTCAAGTTGCTGTAGTTTCTTTTTAATTAGGGGTAGGGCCACCGGGCTGATACACTCTAAGTTAAGAACAGTTTTACAATTCAAATTGAGAAGAGAGCGGAATTTGAGGTTAATTGTAGTTTTCCAAGGGGAATTATGAATATCTCTTAAGATCAGATTGGAAAAGCCACCTCTAATTCGAGCATCCGATGCTAATAGGTGGAGGGTGTAGGAAATGGCTCGGCTCCATGCTCGTCTAGCAATTGAAGGCTGGGCGAACTCGAGTCGTAGGGCTGCACCTGAGACACATCTCGGGACGCCGGAAAGAGATCTCAGAAACATATGAAGTGGACGATCCAGGTTACCTGATATTGCTGTAGTCCATACTTCACATCCATATAATAATTTAGGGACGACTTTGGCATTAAATATTTGAATTGCTGCTGGAAGGTGTTTGCCGCCCTTCTGGTGGTAAAATCGGACAATGGCGTTAGAGGTCGTGGTTGCAGCGAGAAAGGCAGATTGTAGATGGGTGGTCCAGGAGAGATTATAGGTGAATATTAATCCTAGATATTTAAAGGCTTTTACCTTTTCTAAGTAGCCACCTGTGATCTTAAGCGGCTCCAACTTGAGTTTGCGGGAACGAGTGAAGTGGAGGACTTTCGATTTTTATAATTAATATTAAGAGCTTCCGCCTTACAATAGGCGATAAATGCATTAACTGCATTTGCTAGATCCGCAGCTGTTCTGGATAAGATGACGGCATCATCAGCATAGAAAAGGGAAGCAACGGGGTGGCCTGCTAAGTGAGGAGGATACTTAGATGCTAGCTTCAAAGTGGAAATTGCATCATGAAGATAGAGATTAAACAGTAAAGGGGCCAAGAGGCAACCTTGTCGGACGCCCTTGGCCGTTGGAAATGGAGTAGTGGGGGAGCCGTTTGGACTAGTTCGGACGCGAGCTGTGGTGTTTGAATAAAGGGAAATAATTAGGGAGAGAAGGTGCGGATCAATTCCCAGATGGGCAAGTTTGGACCATAATCTCTGCCTAGGAATGGAATCAAAGGCGGCCTCCAGGTCCATGAAAGCGGCAAATAGGTGGCCTTGCCTTGGAGCAGTGTATTTACTGGCAAGGTGAAAGAGAGTTAGACAATGGTCCATGGTTGACGCTGACTTTCGGAAACCAATCTGTTCTAGCGGTAGAATGTTCCTCTCCTGGGCCCATGAGAGAAGTTCCTCCAGTAAAACAGCGGCAAATATTATCACCGGGATGGATAATAAGCTGATGGGGCGATAGTTCCTAGGGATGTTTGGCTGGCCGCCTTTGAAGATCGGAACTATTATAGCTTCTCTCCAGGAGTCGGGGATGTCTAGGGCGGAGGAGATAGCGGTGAATACAGGAGTCAGGTGTTCGCTCCACCAAAGAGGATCAGTCAGGAAAAGGTCCAACGGGACCATGTCTGGGCCGGGGGCCTTATTCCTTTGCATTGACATTATGATGTTGAAAATGCGAGTTGAAGTAAAATTTATTGAAGAAGTGGGACTAAGAGAGCAGGGACTGAGGTCCAATGGGGATTGAAGGAGATCTGTAAGATGGTTTGGAGAAGCGAAACTAGTTGAATAATAAGCAATCCATTCATCCGCGGAAATCTGGGTAGCTGGATTGAATGGTGCCGAAGGTCTAACTAGGCGCCAGAAGGAGCGGGAGTCATGCCTCTCTACAGCCGAACGAAGAGTGGACCAAGCCTCAAAGATGTACTGCTGTTTCTTGCAATGAATCATGTTTCTATATGTCCTTTTAATATCTATGAGCTTTGCACGGGTTTGGGGGTCGTTGGAAGATTTGATGATTCTGACCATTTTCCTAATTCGCCTTCTTAGGGCTTTACATTCCTTGTCAAACCAGGGCGATTCAGAGAAGAGGCGTTGGTAAGTAGGCGAAGTGGTGGTTATGTAAGTTGTTGAGAAAGCATCAAGTAATTTCCGGTATTGGTCAGCGGGCAGGATTGGATCAGAGGGAACTGCAGACATATCAAATGATTTTTGTATGTCCAGGGCAAGAGAGGAGCTGAGGCTTGTCCATTTCTTTGTTTTGTATACAGGGTGGCTTTGTACCATGGTTCTATAGTTTGAGGAGACTGGGAGTGGCTCTATTAGGTTTAACATTAGAGTTAATGGAAGGTGGTCACCACCAAAATATTCAGCCACTTCCATTTTTGTAGAAATTGAGAATAGCTCCGGCGTCAATAAAATGTAGTCGACAACACTGGTTCCCCGGGAAGTGATGCACGTTAATTGCTGCGAGGACAAGGGAGTAATGTTACCATTTGCGATGCAGAGATCGTTTTCCATGGCCAGTTGGGCCATCAGCCTCCCGACGCATTTGTTATAGGATCAAGAGAGCATCTGCAGGGGATTGTCCAGGAGTGCTGCGGGAGATATTATATCATCGTCGTTGGGACCTATTCTTGCATTAAAGTCGCCTAAGAGGATTTGAGGGAGTCCTGGGTTAGTTGTTTGGAGATCATGGAGCCAAGACGAAAGTTCAGACCACCTTTCATTGCGGTCGAAATCATTAATTGCTGGGGGCAGATATACTGTAGTTATCAACCATGGGCTTTTGGTCTTTGGGAGATGAATCTTTATGGTGAGAAAGTAAGGGGAAGATTTAATTTCCTCGCAAATAGTGAGGGGTAAGCTGGTTGAAATGAGACAGGCGAGGCCAACTTGGGGGCGACCCCTGTTGGTTAGTTTACGAGCACAGGAGCTAAAGGAGCAATAATTTGGGAGAACAATACTTTGTTGGGACCAGGTCTCTTGGAGGCATACAATGTCGAAAGAAGAGATGAAATTCATTGCTTCAGGATCCATTTGCTTTGTCGCCCAGCCGTTAACATTCCAGGAGACAATTTTAAGGCTCTGGGGTAGGTTGGGTGCGTCTTTCAAGGAAACAACTGCTTTTGCTTGATTTGTGAGTGAGGGTTGAGTCTGTTCGTATCTGATGATATCGGATTTCCGCGGAGATAGGGAGCCGGCTGGTGTTTGTCTCTGGTCTAATCTTTGTCAATTATTTCCCAAGGTGCTTTTAGGGATTACTTTTTATGAGCCGGCCCATTGCTCTCCATACATGGCAAACTAGCCAAATGTTCTATAGTTTCGGCTGTTAACTGTTGAATACTGACATTAGTGGTCACCGGACCTTTGAAGTGTGTTATCTCTTTCCGTAGGTGTTTTTCCGGAACCTGATTGTGGCCTAATTCGCCTCATCTAGATACCTCAGCTTGTCCCAAGAGCCTGGTGAATTCACCTTCGGGATGGTTCTCTTTATTGGAGGTGGTGTAGTGTTCTCTTCAGTGTGCTGGGCTTCCTTAATTGGGAGTAAATTAATCTCAGCCATTGTCTGAAGGTAACATGGCCGACAGGCCGCTGGGTTTGGTTCTTGTGTAGGGTTCAAATTATAGGAAGTCTGGTCCATTTTAAGGGCGTCCATATTGATTTCCTTATTTGTATCTCTCCCAGCCAGCTTAATTCTTAGCATATCCAATCTTTCTAATATTTCAGCTTGTATTGGAGATGGAAAATGGCAAAATTGCCTAATTAAGGTATTTTCTTCCGCGGAAAAAAGATCCTCATCTTCATTCTCTTGAAGTTGCAGGTCTTGCAGGTGGGCATCTTTCCTTTTTAATTTTTGAAGCTCTCGTTTCTGGAGACCAGGCCGGGTTTTGGGAGGTTGTTTCTCCTTACTAGGGTTTGCGTGCTTGGCTTCCAGAAGGGGATTCGGTGGTGCCTTGTTTTCAAAAATCTGAGAATTTTTATCTGGGCCTTTAAGAATATATATCTTGATCTGTAGATAAACTTGGCCAGGTTCTGGTCTCTAAATGTGATCATTGCTCTCATTGAACAACCATCATGATGCAAATAATCTACAGAAATAATGTCATATGGCTTTACTGCTCCTGGCAATATATCATTCAGAACGTTCAAGGAGCTCATTCTTCGTTCTTTCCCTGTAAGGAAGCCCTTTGATTTTGGGAAGTTTGTAAATACTAATATTGAGGGATTTAAAATCAGGTTCCAACATCTTGCCTGAATAAAGGTTTGCCCATCTTGTATAGTGTTGTCATCGCGATTGGGCATTGCATCGTCCCCATTTCCCGATTTGCTAAGCGGTTTGCTGCCTTTATTGTTAGGGACCACTTCTCCCCCAGAATCTGGCTCACTGAGTAAACTGTTACCAGAACTCTGGGACGTTGCTTCCGTCCTCCCACTTAGTTCTGAATTCTGGTTCAGAGATGCCACCTTAGCCATTAGCTTTGGCGATGGCTTCTTTTCCCTTCCTGCCATTCTTTTTTATCTCGTGCAGCAGATTTATTTGAGTCCAATGGGAGTAGGTTAAATAATTTCTGCCATTGTTTATGTCGGCTTATCTTTATTTTCCTTGTTGTTTTAATGTTCTTAGTTTTCTTTTCCCGGACTTTTGATCTATTTTTTTTGCAATTTCTTGGTTGTTACTGCTTGTCTCATCTTCACTAGTTCATCTGGGTTATGCACAAGTTCATCTGGTTTATGCACTTGGGGTGCATCGGTTGCTGTTGTCTCTTTTGGTTGGGGAATAAAATTTTCCACAAGGGTCAGCAATAACCCATTTGTTATTGTCAAGTAATTTTTATGTTGGAAAGGTCTATATTTATATCTTGGAAATGGGCCTGAAGATGGCCATCACTCAGTTCAGTTTGAGTATATTTGGAAGTGGGCGCCTGGTCTTGGTGGCATGTTGTTAATTCTGCCAGGGGCCGCTGGTTATAGGTGACAGAAATATTTTCCACGGGTTTCTCAGCTAGAACTAGCTCTTGCGCCAGGCTTCTTGGGGAATTTGTGTTTCCAGAGTTGTGTTGAAGCTCTTTGAAGTAATGTGACCGGTCAAGGTAAGTAAGGGGGAGAGGAGTGACTTCGTCAATAATTGGTTCAATTTGTTCACTCATGCATTCCTCCCTCTTGGGGGTGGCGTATCTGGCAAGATACCCAACTCCTTACACAACTTTCTAGTGAGGACCATGTTGGATAGTTGTCTTCCTATTAGAAAACCAGTTGTCCCCCAGTGTTTCTGCCTAATTAGCAGGGCCAATGGATGAGTAGGGATGAATCTGCAGCTTTCTCCTGCTTAGCTCATCAGCGAGCGCTGGCTCTCAGTATGTTTCCCTGGTGGAGCCCGAGCCCTCTCCTTTCCAGTGACGGGGAGTCCCTTCACGGCAGGGGAGTCAGCCAGACCTCTTCCCTTCCCCACTCACTCGTCTCAGAAGATTACTCAGCTCCTCAGCACCAAATGCACAGCGGGGGGTGAGGCAAGGCAGCAAGGCTGAAGCACGAAGCAGGTAATAAAACAATAAAGCAATAAAAGCCCGGAGGGGTTAAAAGAAACTACTTAGAACTACTTGAAGCTTAGTCTAAAAACAATAAAACAATAAAAACCCAGAGGGGGGTTAAAATAACTACTTAAAACTACTTAAAACTTAATCTAAAGGCAGACGAAGTTAACTGAGCCGCGCGTCGCTTCTCCTTTTCCGGTGTGGGGGAAATCGGGAGCCCCCTGTAAAATTTTAAAGGCTGCCGGGGCTTGGAATAGACTGTGCACTTAAACCTCACCCCTCTTGGTTTCTCTAAGCCACCCCCCCCCCTTCGCTTGATGTTTGGGGGAAGAAATAAGGCAGGGCTTGGGGTGGACAATTCAGGGTTTCTGATCAGGGAACCATTCCTCAGCACTGCACGTTTATACGTTTAGAACCTTTGAAGGTGTGCCTTTGCCTGGTTCTTGTCATTGGCTTCACTTGCCAGTACAGGCTCCCTAAAGAAAACCACTTTTAAACAACAACAACAAAAAGGTTTCGGCTTATAGTACCTTACTGAAAAGTCCAGGTTAACCCACGGTTTATATTTCCACTTCATTTTGGCTCACTGTAAAGGACAGCTATTTTCCTTTTCTTCAAAAACTTTTCCTTGCCCGGCATGTTCATTTTACTCCCCCCACCCCTCCTCCCTCCCAACTCCCCCCCCCCCCCACGCTTTCCTTCTCCTCCCCCACCCGTCCTCCCTCCCTCCACCCCCCACCCTTTCAGGAGATACATCGGTCTTTGGAGTTCCTTTGCTTCTTGCCTGAGTCATCACAGTTACCAGACAGGTTTTTCAACTGCTGGGGCAGGCTTGATTGCTCTCTGAGTGACCGGCAGTTTGTGAGGCATTGTCTTTAAGCACCTGGCAGTTCAGCAGCTCTAGTTGCATTGTCAGTTTAACTAACCAGCAGTTTGACCAATTGCAGTCTTTTGTCTGTTTAAGCACCCTTATTTCCCTCAACTGGTCTTGAGCCGACCTTGTGGGCAAAGATTTACTTTTCTTTGTTTGGCAAAGTTTCCTTTGTTTGGTAGAAGTTTCCCCAGCAGTGAGATATTCCCCTTAAGAGCAACCTCACCCCTCCTTTTCAGAGGGCCGCTGGTGTGGGCCTGGAATCTTATTGATTTCCTTTTCTCTTAATTTGGCTGCAGCTTCTGAGCATCTCCTTGTAAGCAGTTATTTTCAATTCTGTTTGATTACTTGGCAATGCTTTGTGCCTAGATTTGCCTATCATTTAAAAGGGGCAACTTTTACTGTAGGCAATTATCTTCTAATTCTGTCTGACTGCAGTTGGGGTTGCTTTGTGTATGGGATTGTTCCTTGGAGCCAGGTGCTAATATGTAGCTGGAGCGCTGCTGCTTGAACTCTTGCTGGGTTGTGATTTAATAAATATAAATAAATACAAGCGGTGCAGTTAAGTGACGTATAGCTTGTTCATTTTGTCAGCAGTTACGCGGAGCAATTGATAATAGTAATTCCTACTCATAGCTATAAATCCATTGGTTATTAATTGAGATACTATCGATTAATAATTAATTCATCAACAGTGCTCCGAACTTTATTGATGCACAATAATTGTATACTAACATTTAATTACAGTCAAGTTATTAATTGATTGGTGATATTAATACTAATTAAAAAATAACAACAACAATAATAAAATAAAATAAATTTGAAAAATAAATAAATAATAATTGATAATAATAAATAATAATTATAATTATAAATAATAATAATAATAAAATAATAATAATTAATATTGAAAATATAAATAAATAAATGAAAAATAAATTTAAAATAAA